ATCCACTCACCTCAGCCTCCCAAAGGTGTGGGATTACAGACTGAGCCACCGAGCCCAGCTAAAAGCACAATCTTTATGAGAAAAAGTACATAACTTTACTGAAAACATTAAATGGAGAAATATACCACATTCATGAACTGGAAAATTCCATTTCCAAACGCTGATTTCATCCAAACTCATCTATAGATTGAGGGATTCCATTCACCATCTCAAAGGGGTTTTTATTGATGGAGCTTGACAAGCTGGTTCTCAAGTTTATATGGAAGAGCAAGGGCCAAGAATAGATCTCAGTGAATGATTCCCAAAGGACACAGAGGGACAAAATAAAAAGATTACTTTATTCAACAGATCACTACACAGCAGGAAAAAGGAATGACCTACAGCAACATGCAATAATTGGGATACATCTCAGAAACAATGTTGAGTGAAAAGGCAAGTCACAGAATAAACAGGATGACTTCATTTATATAAAATTTGAAAACATGCAAAACCAAACCTATGTAATAAAACTATACAGCAAAGCAAGGAGTGACTGAGATGGGATCGTCTCCCCCACCAGGGAGGAGGGCACAGCGGGAACTTTCTCTTAACAGGGCAGGGCGGGGATGCTTTCTTTTGTAAAGAAGTTCTTGTATCTCTAGTTCCAAACAACATGAAAATAAGTTCTGGAGAGTGAGGGATGAGACATTCACTAACATTTCTGTGCAGCCCAAAGCACGGGCACACCAAGTTCTTACTGTTCGTTAAAAAATAGTAACGGCACATGCCTTCTGGAAAAGCAAACGACCAACCAGCTGGAGTTTCCGTGGGCATAGGCAGAACCTGTCGGAAGTGTGGGTTCCTCCAGAGACTCTCAGGGACAAGTGCCACTTCATGGGAGGGTCCCTGCAGTAGCAGTGACTTCCATTACACGCCTTGTTGGTCCAGCCCCTCACTCCTACCCGTCCCAGTGTCCAAGCTTCTCTGGCTCAGTTTCTCCTCTAAATAACCCCACCCCCACCCTACTCAGAGGGACAGTTGCTTGGCTGCAAGGCAGGGTGTTCTACCTAGCTGCTCTGTATACAGACTTCCCACCAGTCCCCACTATCAGCCTCGCCTTGCCTTCCCTGGACTGGTGGAATTCCCTGAGCCTCTCTAGGGTTCTGGGAACAAGTCCATGTGCTTCTTGGTCCCTCCTTTGGGAACGTGCAATTTCAACTTTTTCTAATTTTTGAGTCGGGGGGGTCTCACTGTCACCCAGGCTGGAGTACAGTGGCACTATCACGGCTCACTGCAGCCTCAACCTGGGCTCAGGCAATCCTTCCGTCTCAGCCTTCCAAGTAACTGGGACTATAGGCACTTGCCACACACCTGGCTAATTTTTTTCATTTTTTTACAGACGAGGTCTCACTACGTTGCCTAGGCTTGTCTTGAACTCCTGGGCTCAAGCGATCCTCCCACCTTGGCCTCCCAAAGTGTTGGGGTTACAGGCGTGAGCCACCATGCCCAGCTGGTAATTTCAACTTTTAATTCTCTGCCAAGAGAGTAAACAAGACTTTCCATCTTTCGAAATGTCATCAGGGCCGGGCTCAGTGGCTCAGCCTATAATCCCAGCACTTTGGGAGGCCGAGGTGAGTGGATTGCCTGAGCCCGCGGGTTCGAGACCCACCTGGGCAACTTGGCGAGACCTCATCTCTACAATAAATCAAAAAATTAGCTGGGCGTGGTAGCGCGCGCCTGTAGTTCTAGCTACTGGAAGGCTGAGGCGGAAGGATCACCAGAGCCCAGTGGATCGAGGCTGCAGTGGCCGGGAGCAGCCACTGCACTCCAGTCTGGGCGACAGAGTGAGACTCCGACTCAAAAAAAAAAAAAATGTCGTCAGGCTCTGGTCTACTGTCTCCTCTCCTGTTTTCTTGCCCATGTAAATGTATACCTTTTCAATTTTACTGTCATTTTAGTGAGATCCTAAGAGAAACTTGGGATAAACTCACATGTTCAATTAAGCCTGCCATGTTTAACTGGCAGTCTCTCTATTTATTTACATAAAAGTGGTTAACAAGCAGTACTGAAAAGTCCCCAGAGGGGAGCAGATGCTGGAACATCCCTAGAGCATTACTTTGCCTTGATTTGTTTCCCACTCACTTCTTCAGCTGTGTAAGAGTGAAGGCAAAAGCACAAAAACCTGGGTTCAAATCCTGCCTCCTCCACTTATAACACCAGGATCTGACCACCTCGGTTCTCAGAGCTTTAAGGTTTTCACTCACAAAATAGGAGCATAATTGCCAGGTTAGCTAAGAGAGGTTTCATGAAACTGCTGTCACAGAGATGCTTCTGTCTATAAAATGCCGAACCTGGCTAAGAATGTTCGGATGCTTGCAGCCTGGGTCACTAGGAAACTGCCTTGGCCTGCTGGTGCCCCCATCCCCACCCCACCAAGGCCACAGGAGGCAGACCCTAGCCCCTCAGACCCTCAGGCATTCTGGGGTCTCCAGGCCTCACGTTCAGAGGAACCAGAAATGGCGGCCCCAGCAACAAAGTGAGAAACCCTGCAAAGATGGAGGGAGGCTGAGAACCAAGTTGGCACCTTATTAACCTGGCAAAGGGGCAGCCCCTTGCCAGACCCTCCTCTGCACTCCTCTACCAAAAGAGTCAGAATTGTCGGGTGCGGTGGCTCACACCTGTAATCCCAACACTTTGGGAGGCAGAGGCGAAAGGATTGCCTGTGCCCACAGGTTTGAGACCAGCCTGGGCTACATGGCGAGGCCTCATCTCTCCAATAAATAAATTACAAAAAATTAGCTGGGCGTGGTGGCAAATGCCTATAGTTCCAGTTACTTGGAAAGGCTAAGGCAGGAGGATTGCTTGAGCCCAGCAGGTCGAAGCGGCGGTGGCTGTGAGCATGCCACTGCACTCCAGCCTGAACAACAGAGTGAGACTCTGACTCAAAAAAAAAAAAAAAAAAGAAGAGCCATGGGCCCAAGCCCTGGACACACAGGAGTCCAAGCTGGGCAGGGGCAAGGCCAAGAAAGGGGCAGAAGTTGCCCAGTGTAGGCATTAGGGCCAACCCAACTTCCTTCCTGGGTCTGGAAGTGGGGCACCCACCGCCCCCTCCTCCCTGTGCAGTTCCGGCCCTTCTTGGAGTCAGGAGGCCATGCGTCCCGCATCAGCTGTGGTCTGGAAGGTGATCCCGTCCCCAGGCAATGGAGAGGCCAGGAAGGGCCAGAGCCAGACAAGGGCCCAGCGGGGCCCCAGGGCTGCCTTCAGGTTGTGGCAGGGGCCCAGGTCATAGGCGTGCTGGCCCCGAGCCCACTCCCATGTGGTCTGGCCCCGCAGAAGCAGCATGCCGTGGAAGAGCAGCCCAGCCCCACACAACAGCGCACCCGCCACGCACGTGTCCATCACGAAGGCCAGGGCGAACTGTGCCAGAGACACTCTGCCTGTGAGAGGGAGAGCAGAAAAGGTCAGGGGGCAACAGTCCGTCCCAACCCTTCCAGAGCCCAGCCCCTGCCCGCCTTCCACTGCGACCTTCCACCACAAGGCAGAGCTACCCGCTAGCCAGCCCGTGCTGGGTGACAAGAACACACTGGTAAACAGGGCAGACACAGCCCCTACCTGGAACAAGACTTCATTCACACATCACAGGCTTGGAGAACACCGCCTCCACGCTGGACACGGTGCTAGGCACCATGAAACCAGGTGAACGCAGTAGATAGCTTCTCTGCCCTCAGGGAGCTCACAGACATTACAGTTAATTCTCAATGACAGCAGTGATGTGAGTCACCATGGAAGAGTACAGCAACTTATACCATCTTGGCCCTCAGCAGGAAACGAGTACCTGCTGAACTAATGAAACTACTAGACGCCATGAAACATTATGCTAAGTAAAAGGCCAGACACAAAAGGTTATGTATTTATGAACCCATTTTTTTTTGGAGTTGGAGTCTCACTCTGTCGCCCAGGCTGAAGTGCAGTAGCATGCTCATGGCCACCGCAGCCTCGACCTGTTGGGCTATGGTGATCCTTCCACTCCAGCCTTCCAAGTAGCTGGAACTACAGGCATGCGCCATCATGCTCAGCTAATTTTTGATTTATTGTAGAGATGAGGACTCACCAAGTTGCCCAGGCTGGTCTTGAACCCGTGGGCTCAGGCAATCCCCTCACCTTGGCTTCCCAAAGCACTGGGATTATAGGCATGAGCCACCACGCTCGGCCTATGATTCCATGTATAAAAAACGTCCTGTAGCCAGGTTCGGTGGCTCAGCCTGTAATCCCGCACTTTGGGAGGCTGAAGTGAGTGGATTGCCTGAGCCCGTGGGTTCGAGACCCACCTGGGCAACTTGGCAAGACCTCATCTCTACAATAAATCAAATAATTAGCCGGGCGTGATAGCACGTGCCTGTAGTTCCAGCTACTCGGAAGGCTGAGGTGGAAGGATCACTGGAGCCCAGCAGGTCGAGGCTGTAGTGG